TATCTTTGTCTTATTCAGCGCCAGTTTACAAATATGTTAATACTTTTGTTGTATCAAGTTTCCAAACATTCTTCCCTTCTTTTTCTTTCCCTTGAGTCTTGCATTTCTACAGAAATACAGACACAGACACAAACACAGACAGACACAGAGAATAAGCTCTATTCATTCTACATTTCTTTCACTTCAAACAGGTTTCTGCTATCTCAGTCAGGTTTCTGTCTGTTCTGTTAGAGTCCATATTTGAACATATTCTACATATAGTAAATGGTATATTTAATCTATCATTTTCAATTATGGAAATATGACCTAAGAAAGCAAAGAGAAAAGATTGCTTCAAAAGAAAGCAGATTTGTTTATTCAGCAAATACTGAATAACAGGTTTTCAGAACAAGGTACTTACTGGACATTATTATTATTATTAATAAATGTTTCCAGTGCCTCTAGAATACTGGGAGCCCCAGAAAGATATACATCAAAATGCATTCTCCAGTGATCTGATCTGTAGAGGCCTTTTCCTAGTACACGAATGACATTTGGCATATGGTAAGTACTTGGTAAACATTCGTGGAAAAAAATAGCTGCTGTCTAAATCAGGGACATTTTAGCTCTGTATGAGGGTTCATTGACTAAGACCACAATGTCTTACAACATTAAAAGTCTTATTTTAATTTCCCTATTCATTCATTTTGTACCTCCCAAAGTAGGTAGGTCTAAAACAAAGGCAACTACTCAAACAATGATTTTTATAGTCAAATAACATTTTCTATGTTCAAAGACCTAGTGGAATGCCTTAAAAAAGTTAGCATTTAATGATTTTCCGTTTTCATTCATTGCTCTTCCTTTTCTCTCAATTTAAATTCCAACCTGAGTCTGACACTTTTCTTATGCCCTAAAGCTTATATGATTTCGGGCATCCCTTCAAAAAATAATTAAATTAGAATTATACACAAAATTAAAATTAGATTTAGGAAATGAAAAGTGATTAAGATGAAGACTACCACAAAGATGATAAACCCCATGGACAAAAACATATTTCAATTAGTTAAATAGCTGCAAGTCTATAAGTTCTTTTCCATTACTTTGTATATATGGTATTTGTAATGTTTTTTCATATTGCAACCATTTCATATTACATTTTTTTCTGAAAAACCACAGGAAGATAACTTTTCTGTATCATGATTAATCAAAGTTAATATTTTATATTTTTATAATTTATGCATGGCTATCCTGGTTTCATAGCTCATAATTCTCTGCTGATAAGCAATATTGAATACCTTTTCACAGATGTATTTACATATCTTCTTTAGAGAAATGTCTGTTCAGATCCTTTTCCTACTTTATACTGAAATATTTATTTTTATCTTTGCAATTGAGTTGTAGGAAAAAGTTTACTCTTGTCTTAAATGTTGCTTTCTATTGCACGTATGATTTGTAAATATTTTCTCTCATTTAGAATGTCTCTTTTTTCTTGTTGACTATTTACTGTGAAAAGGCCTTTTAGCTTTATATCCTCCATCTTGTCTATTTGCTCTTTTGGCTTATGGTTTGGTTGTCATATTCATAAAACTATTGTCAAGACCAATGTCAAAAAAGGTTTCTTCCAAAACTTCTCCTAGAAGTTCTAGTTGCAGGTGTTATGTTCATCTTGAGTTGATTTTGGTTTGATGCTTGTTAGTCTTGCATTTTCTTGGGCCATTTTCATTCTTTCGAACGAGAATATCCATTTTACTCAATACCATTCTCAGAGACTACTGGTTCACTTTGCTACCTTTTTTTCATACTCTTTCCTATATGGCTTTGGTTTATCAAGAACACCTGCTCTACTATTTCATTCTTCACAATATAGATTGACTTCATAAAATTCATTCTAAAATGAATCTCTTTGGAAAAGGGAAAGATTGAGAAGATACTTGAGTTTTAACTATTATTCTAGCTAGCATATAATGTAGTCTTTATTAGTGATTGTTTACTGAGATCTGGAATATAAACAGGACTTTTGTTCATGGTCTGAGGTGATCTAGCAGCCACATCTCCAACGAAATAGCAAGAAGACAGTGGTTGAAAAGAAGGATGGAGAACATGCATAAGACATAAGCTGACTTTCCGGAAGTCGTCTCCAAACTTATAAAGATTTCCTGGCATATTTCATTGGCTAGTATTCAATATTGAGTCCATAGGAGCTGGCAATCCTCTAGCTACAAGATGTGTAGGGAGATGTCACTAAATCAATGACATTAATTTGTGATGAGTGTATACTCAAGAGAGTGTGTACTTAAACTGAAAAGGAAAAGAGGAAGAATTATGGTAATTTTAAACTCTCATTAAAGAGCGAGGAAACTTTTGTTCAGTGTTACCTCTCTGAATGCAAACTTTGTCCTTTTTAAAATTAAGGTAACCATTAATTTCTTTATAGAATTTATAGATGAGGGTCAAATAAACCAATACCTTAAAAATCAAATGGTACATAGATGTAAAGTGTTATCTTTAATTCATTAGTAGTTGGGTATAAGGTAAAAATATTACTGAGCAAATATGTCAGCGTTTATGCCAGTGCCATGTATCCGTATTTGTAATGAGAAGTACTAGATAACAATGACAACTAACCTAAAGAGAACACAATTCCAATTACAAAAACATTTTCAAAAACATGATAGTGCATTTGGTTCTTCTATAGACTGTGCCATAATCTGTTATATCCATTTATAGATAGGAAACTCACTGCAGAGAGGTTAAATGAATGATTCAAAGCAGTACAACTCTAAATGATTGAGTTAAGAATTCTGCCACCATCAAATCTCTCAGGTTCTTATTATCTGTCTTGCTTCTTTAGTCTTTATATTGTCACACAACGTGAAGCCCTTTTGGTGAAATCTCAGTCTCTTCAGATTACATGAATAAGCTCTCTTTTAAAAAAATCTTTATTGCCAGGTGCAGGTGGCTCACACCTGTAATCCTAGTTACTGAGGAGGCTGAGATCTGAGGCTCACAGTTCAAAGCCAGCCCGAGCAGAAAAGTCCGTGAGACTCTTATCTCCAATTAACCACTAGAAAACGGGAAGTGGTGCTCTGGCTCAAATGGTAGTAGATAGAGCACTCGCCTTGAGCTGAAGAGCGCAAAGATAGCGTCCAAGCCCAGAGTTCAAACCCCACGACCAACAACAACAAAAAAATGATAATCTTTATTGATATGTTGTTTTTCTCATTTCTTCTTAATGTGAATTGTTTCCTAATCTTTCTTTCTCTCCTTGCACAGACACATGATTTTGCAAAACCAACTAATTTCCTGCCCCACAAAGTATACTGTTATTTGCTCATTCAACTTCTACCCCTTCTGTAAATGTCAACTCAAGTTCCATATTCCACAGAAACATTTTCTGAGTACCTCAGGTTGCATAGATCTTCATTTCCCCCAAACTTCTCTATCATACAGAATATATATATATAGAGAGAGAGAATGCATATTTTAGATTTAATTATAGAAATACATTATACACTGTATCAGGTTATTCCATATGTCTTAGCTTTTTCTCTCTGCGTAGACTTCAAGGTCTTGTATTTCTTAAGCTATTTCAGTAAGTAGCAGAAGGGTAAAGGTAAGAATATAGGGCTAACAAATACCAGATTACATCAAAATTGATCCAACTTCTAAAATTTATTTTGCATTTTCATGACAAATGAGGAAACAAGGTCAAAGATGCAAAGACCAAGACAATTCCTTCAGCTGAGGCTTGAAGCTCTGTAATTCTCAATGAAACATTAGACTAAAATTCAAATACTGTATGGGTTCGAATATAGATGCTGTTGTGTACACCTTACTCTCTCAAATTGTGAGAACCAAGATTATAAGCTTTAGGTTAATTTATGTGTATCTTGTATTAAATTTGAAAGGATCAGAACTGATGAGAATTTTATCAGTGGGAAAGGTGGATAAACACTTCTATTAAAGACAGGATATTAAAGTGCACTGCACAACAATTCTTTTATGCACACAGCCATGAGATATTTCATTCATAACTAAGATGCCATCTTTGAGCTTAACGATGGGATCATTCTCCTCCCATAATATAATTTTTTCAGGTTAGGGGTAATATTTCTGTTTTTGCTTATTTTGTACTAAGTTCCTGGAATAGTGCCAGTGATCTATAATTCATAGCGATACATTGTTAAAAGAAACATAGAAGATAGTATTTGGCTTTTTCTAATATATGAATTTTTCTGTGAGTGGACAAATTGCTGGGTGTTTTCAAAGATGGAAGATTAAAATATATAAAGCTCTAAGTCTATTTCCATTTTGTTTTAGAATGTTGGCAACTTTGTCATCTTAAATTTTTTTATGTTTTATGCATGTATATATTCCTTTGGATAAAAAATATACCTATTACAGCTTAAGCTGTCTATAAATAATATGCCCGTTTGTTTATATATCTTCATTTACATGCAGAAATTGAAATGTGAAGCAAGATGTGCAACCCCATGTTGCTACCAATAAATCTGCACTATTCACAGTCAACCTTTTGTGTTCAAGACAGTGTTTACAACGGTGGGGAGAAGATTGAGAATATGATTCAGGCATTTGTTTTAAGATCATACTTTGTTATTGCTTATGAATACAAATTTGCTTTCTGTCATTGAGAATTTTTTCATACAATTTGCTTGTTTGTTAGAAAAATAAAGCAGCTCATACTTTCTGAGTATATGTTCATTTTGAGAAGCAGTGATCCTAGACTTCCAGATCCATATGAACCCCTGAGAGAGCAAGAGGTCAAAAGTTAAACTCTTTTTTTTATTCCAGATGAGTTACATAACTCATCTGAAGATATGCGGGCATGAGAAAAACCCCATTATTTTTGTTCTTAGACCTTCTTTTTCTCTTCGTGCAACAGTGTCTCTTTTTTTTTCTTCTCAAGTAAAATGAATTGGATTATAATATTCAAAAGAATTATAAGAGGGAAGACACTTCATCCCAAATGTCGCTGATCTTTTTTCTCTGTGTTCCTGCAGCCCTCTTCAATCTAATTCCTGTGGGACTGCGTGTGGTGGCCATCCAAGGGGTGAAAGCTAGCCTCTATGTGGCCATGAATGGTGAAGGCTATCTCTACAGTTCAGTAAGTACCTCACAGTGTGTGTGTGAGAATGTGTAAGTGTGTGTGTGTGAAAGAGAGAGAGAGAGAGGGTGAAAGAAATAGGGAGGGAGAGGGAGACATTAACTTTGGAAGGTAATGAAGAACTTATTATTTTAGGGAAGAAAATTGGGTACTTAAATCATCTCATAGTTTTCAATTTGTTTTTCCAACTTGTGATATTTTTATTTTGTTATATTTTATGTTATTGTCATTTAAAGACTATATTCTCTTGAATGAGAAACACGCGCTATTCTCCATATGAGTATACCTTCGGCGTCTTCAGGATGTACAATCTTGTAAATTTTACCTTTTTGGCTAATTCAAGGAATAATGTTCACTCATTCCCCTGTAACTCCTCTTTTAAGCACAAAGAATAACAAAATGGGAAGTTCTTCAGTTTTTGTTTTCATGGAGTTTCCTTTATTCTCTTAGAGAAAAAAATTGTAAATGCATTTTGGTTTTGTATGGAGTACCTATTATGCCATATTCTCCAAGTAAGTGTTTGATTCAAAGGCAGGAAAATATCTGGAATGAGCTCAGGATCAGTGCCCAGGGGAATTTGGATATGGTTTCTATTTCAGCTATTGTCTTTATATCTTTTTGGGAAAATTACTCTCTTTGGTTTAATTCCTGTACCTTCAAAATGAGAGTGTTGGTTGCTTTATTTGACCAGTGGCTACATTACAAATACTAACCTGTGTTATAGTGGTTTACATTATTCTTATGCTTGTGTCACTCACAAAATAATAATTTACGCATTGAGAGAATTTAGCTGAATGGAATGTGAATGTTTTATATAATTTCTATTTTCCATCTTCTAGTTTTTAAGTTTAAGCAGTAGTTTCTGCCTTTTATGATTGCTCTTACTTTTTAGTATGCATACATAAATACAAAAATTATATTAAAAACCAAAGCAAAAGGGAGGTTGCTTGATTTTTTTTTTTGCCATTTAGAATTATACCACTGAATCAGGTGGTTCTGAAAGCAGACATTTTCAAGACTGTGAGACAGCACTGATTTTGTTTTCTGTTGAAAATAAAATCAAAGGTTACAGAGAAACATGAGAAGTCTCTGGGAAGAAGAAAAGAGAAAGTTGCTCTTGAGACCTATAGGGAACTGTTGTATAGTCACAAAATGGAGAAAGTACAACTTTTTAGTTCATTCTAATTTCTTTCACTTAGCCCACAATAATGGATGTCCTAATTTTCCTATTATTCGATACCCAATGAATATTTTCACACTGTATGCAGCCAAAAATCACTTCCATATTTTGTACTCTGATAGTTCATTTATTTTCTTTCTTTTGTTAGAAATAATTGTTTTTCCGCTTCATCTGCCTTTTGAGATGCTCAAAGTTAGAGATCCTATGTGAGATAGACTAATAAATTTGCTACCACTGGAAACTACAATTGCTATGTGAAGTTCTCTGTTCCAGTTTTGTTGAGTGAGTTAATAGAGACATCATGCAGTTTAATTCTGGCAGTAATTAATTAGTTGTCTGGTCGTAGTGGTCTTTGTAATAATTTTCGTGATTATGACTCTACTTGCTTTTCAACTCAGTGACTAGTATACCTTTGAACAGCTTCTGACTGGTGTACTAAAGCTGCCAGCTTTGCAAGGCATGTTTCTCCTGGGTCGAGGTTGATGTCATGTTGTAATTTTTAGAACTGCTATTGGCAGATTTTCCTCTCTGTAGTAAATACTGCTTACTTAAATAAGGAGAATAAGGGAAAGATTTAGTAGCCAAGATGTCTTCCTGAGAGACCTCCTGGTCATTACTGTTTATTTTTTCAGTGAAAGATTTCTATTTCCTCCTGAAAATCAACAATCATATCTAGAATACAGGTTAAACAAAAACCTCCATTTACTTTGGATTTTGAATGTCCGTATTAGCTATTTCCATATAGAAATTTCTAAAATCTAAAGGGCTTGTTCAGAGTTGGAGGGAGAGGGGGAAGGAGAAGAGAGGAGAGAGAGTAGAGACAGAGAAACAGAGAAGAGAGGGGAAAACTTTATCTATTAATGATAAATGATTTCTGGAGTTTTAAAGTTAAAAACACCTTATTAGAGAAAAGTTAAAGGACAACATTTAGATTATGTGAATTATATTATGTATGTATATGCATATATATGTATGCATATCTATCTATCTATCTATTTGCACTTTTTTTGTGGTCCTGGAGATTGAACCCAGGGCCTTGAGCATACAGGGCAAGGTCTTTGTCATTTTGGCCATGTCCTTAAATAATTAATTCAAGTCTTTAACATGAATTTTTGGTTTCTCATTAATGTATGATTTTTGAATTTAATATCATTTATTTTTCATCTTAGAGTATATTTGACCATAGGAATCAGCAAAAATTATATATTTTGTCATGGAATTAATCCTTTTTAAGGGAGGCAATATTGTGGTATGAACTGAGATGCCAAGCCTATGCCAATGCATCTAGCTTTTTGATTGAAATTAATTTTTTCCAACATTTTCTCTTGGTTTGACCTTGAATTTTGACCCTTCCAATCCCTTGCTATAAGGGAGCTAGGTTAGTGGCAGGCACCATTTTTTTCCAGCTAATGTGTGTCAATCAAATGAAATGGGGCTTGTGTGTGTGTGTGTGTGTGTGTGTGTGTGTGTGTGTGTGTGTGTGTGTTTGTGTGTGTGTATGCTCCTGTGCATGCATGTTGGTACTGGAGCTTGAAGTTAAGACCTGGGTGCTGTTCCTGAGATGTTTCACTAAGTCTGGTGTTCCACCACTTTTGTTACAAGTCAACTTTCAGCTTTTTGATGGTTAATTGAAGATAAGAGTCATATAAACTTTCCTGCCTGGGCTGGCTTTAAATCACAATCCTCAGATCTTAGCCTCCAAAGTAGCTAGGAAGACAAGCATGAGCCACCAGTGTCTGGTTGACTTGCACATTCTTTTCAACTAAGGAAAAGAAAAAAAAAGGAACTTGACAGCACAAGAATTTGACGGTTCTTATTTGAAACAAAGGAATTTGGAGGGTTGAATGAGATTGCTTTTCTTTAGAAAGAATACACGCTCAGTTACAATTTTACTACGTATTAAGGAATGGTATGCAGCTTCGGTTACAATATATTTCACATATTCTAAGGCATTTTTCTTTACATGTGTTGTTTCTTTTTTGGAGGGGAGGGCAAGGGTTTAATGGATTATCTTTTTGACCAGACATTGTTTTCTTTTTGAAAGTAGAGTCTTTTCTAACAGAGATTAATATTCTCATAGCAGCAAGTGAAAATCTTCATGTAAACACATGGTTAAAATCTTGCTGGGAGAACTGATGGAGGTATCATGCAGTTTGATTCTGGCACTAATTCACTGGCCATATGGTCCTAATGGTCTGTGTAAGAGTTTTCCTGATTGTGACTCTACATACTTTCCCAGGCAATTGCTAGTTTCATTTTGAATACATTCTCACTGTTGTGTTCTTCAGTACTACGTAATGTTGGTTTTACTCCTCGAGCTTAAAACTTCTGGAAAAGGTTGATACTTTGTCTTCAAGGCTAATCTGATTTGTGAAAATTACCACATGTGTTTCTAATGCCATTGTTTATTGAAGGACAAAAGCAAAATTCAGAGCAGGTAGCTCATGCCTGTATTCTTAGCAACTCAGGAAACTGAGACACCTTACAGGACCTCTGTTCCAAGCCATCCTAGGTAGGAAAGCTGGCAAGATTCCTTTCCAATTAAGGAGCAAAAACTGGACTGGATTTCTTTGCTGAGCAGGCATTAGTAGAGCACTAGTACTGCAAGCAACTGCGTAAACACAAAGCTTCAAGTTCAAACCCCAATAAAGCCAAAAGGAAAAAAAAAAGTCTTCATTTTCTCAGAATATTACTAATGAGGAAGCGCTTTCCTTGAGTTATTTGAGTATAACAAATTCTACATTTTTGCTTACCATCTTGCCATTATGCTGTCATATGTTAAATACAGTGTTACATTTTCAAAAGTCTTGCATTGTGTTCCTTTAGTTATCAGTGAATCAGGCAGTATTAGGTGATATATTAAAAAATCAAATCATGTGTAACTTACATTTTTGTGCAAAATTGGAAAATATCTTAGCTTTCTACACTCAGTAGTGTGTGTGTGTGTGTGTGTGTGTGTGTGTGTGTGTGTGTGTGTTTATGAGTGTGTGTGTGTGTGTGTGTGTGCGCGCACGTGCATGCATGCATGTGCGTGGGTGAGCGCAATTCCTGGGGCTTGAACTCAGGGCCTGGGCTGTGTTTTTGTGCTGACGTTCTACAACTTGAGCTACAACTCTACTTCTAGCTTTTTGATAGTTAATTGATGATAAGAGTCCCACAGACTTTTCTTCTCAGACCAGCTTTGAACTGTAATCCTCAGATCTGAGCCTCCTGAGTAGCTAAGATTACAAGCATGAGCCACTAGTACCTGGCTGTTGATATTTTTCTTTTAAAAAAGAGTTTTTATTAGAAAGTATTAATTGAACAAAGTAATGAGTTTTATTATAAAACAGTCTTCCTTTTTTTAAAATTTACTTGAGTTTTCATTATCTTTTTTATACGTTTTTTATGGTAAAAATACTGTACAGAAGGGTTATAGTTATATGAGCAAGGTAATGAGTACATTTCCTATAGAGCATTGTTGCCTCCTCCCTTGTTTTTCCCCTGCCATCCCTTCCCTCCCACCTCCACAACTGCTCTCTTCTTCCTCTCCCCTCCCCTACCGAAGTTGTAAAGTTCTTTTTCAACATAGTGTCTTGTACATCTCATTATTACAATAGGTCAACCTGTATCCCTATTTAAGTATTTTGTTTCTTTCCCTTCCCCTCCCCAAATTAGAGAAATGTATATACAAGATGCAGGGCACCATCATCAAATACAGTGAAAATAGGCGTTATGCTGTGGGAGAGGAACATACAAAGAAATATAAAAATCACATGGTACATTATAAATACATTAGAAACAATAACAAGAAAGAATAAATATTTGTGTCCCTTTCTTG